ACAGAATAAACATTTGATTTATTGGATTGAAATTAAGTAGATTTTAGTAAAGAAAATTAAATAGTATTGGATTTATGAATGAAGAAAATTGTATAGTACAGGATATATAAAGATAGCATATGATATAATAAAGCTAGTAAATGTATAATAAATATAGTCAGTGCTGGATTTACAGTAAGGACAGCGCAGAAAATTTTCTGAGGCAGCAAAATTTGGAAAGTAAGAAAAAAATGTTCAGGAACCTTGAATACGCAACGCAAAGATATACAAAAAATTATTTTCGATTTTGTTGCGATTACTACATTTTTAATTTTAACTTTAAATAACATATCCTACAGGAATTTAAGAAGTTCGTCGAATGTGTTTATGAAGAAAGTCCTTAGTAAAAATTTATAATTATATTTGTTAGAACAAATATTTATTTATTTATTGTTTAAATATATAGCCCACAGATTTTTTCCAAGAAAGACTTAAAAATACAATAAAGTCCTATTAATATTAATATAAATATTTGGTTACATTATTATAGTATGTAATACGTAATATTTTTGCAATCATATAGTTATTTTAATTTTAGAAAATGAGACATAAAACTATTTAAGTGATGGGGCGACAGTTTTGTCAGTGCCCCAGGGTACCAAATCCGGTACTGGACATATAATATGATATAATAAAGACAGTTTAAAATTGTAGGTGTGGCTAAATGCTCTAAGTAGGCGAGGCTGGTAAAAATAAATTTAAAAAAAATCCGACCCTATTTTAAATATAAATAAAATATGAATTAAATACTGAAGCGGAAAGTAAAAGTGATAAGTTATGTAATGTTAACAATAGCGTTTATCTTTTTTCATAACATAATTATGAAGCGCAAGTATTTTTCAATCCCACACGTAACACCTTTAGCAGTAAGTATTATTATAGATAAGAATGTTTGTGTCATAAGATAACAATTTAGACAAGGACCTAATTTCACGCTAATTATTAAAAATTAGATTTTTTAGGTCGCATAGAAATGAAATAAAATAATTAAATAATTAAAGAAGCCAACGATAATATAATTTTCTAACTACATAGTACCGCAAATAGGATCAAAGCAATTTGTAAGTCAACAATACACAACAGTATCACCAGTGTTCACGCATTAATTAAGAGTTTTATTGGAACTAGCAATATATTATCACTTGTTCTCATTTATTTTAGCGATGACAATATTAATTTCTGTGCCCATTCGGTTTGAAAAATGATATTGTAACAATTCCCACAGAAATCTTCCATCTTTACGTAAAAAGCTCATTCTATGTAAAAACATAAAGCAGACAAAAGTCTCAAAGTCGAAATTTAAAATTATACCTCTTGCAATAAATAAAATTCGCTAAAATCGAAGATTAAATAACGTGTTTATTAATAATCAAACACTTTGATAAAAATAAGAGCACACTTAATCATATGCATTATTTAAGTGCGGTCTGGGCGTGTGTAAAATAAGTTGAAAGATTTTATCTGAATTGCAGCTTGAAAACTGACGAAGTGTATTTACACAATGATTTCATGGTATCTCGATAACATTTTTATTACTTAAAAGTCGGACACGAACCAAAAATAAAGAGGATGTTAAATACCATATGGCTTATATATGGACATTCCCCATTCGCATATGACTTAAATAAAGAGATCTACAATACGATATCTTTTTTAACATTATTGCAAAATTCCATAATCTCCTTTATATCATTATATATAAATACGGCGAATATGACCGTATTGATAAACTGATTGCATTCAGAGAGTCGATCTATAAAGATTAGAGACATGGACTCTAGACAAGACAGACGAAAATCATATATGTGCTGGAGAAATGAAGAGATAACAATATAGACCAATATGAAAACATTACGAACCTATAAAAGTACTAACAAAATGTTCTGCAAAAATTGAGGTAAGAAAGAACTCTACTGAACACGATTGTGATTGGTAAAAGCGTGTTTTCTGCATAAGGTCATCAAAGTAAAATAGTGAAACAAAAGTGAAAGGATGATCGGAAAGAAAACAACCGCACATACACGACTACTTACATGAGAAGAAAAAATTAAAAAAAATAAAGTCGACTAGGAACACATGGAAGAAGTTTGTAAGTGAACAGATTTATAATAAATTCAGATATACTGAATTCTAAAAGTGGGCAATATAAAATTCAACAGCATACTTCTTTTAGGCATAAATATATAATAATGTTAGCATAAAATATGTAGAGATACAGTTATCTTGTATAAGAACAGTAAATATAGTTAGAAATTAACGATATGATATAGAATCATGTTTTAAATTGCAAACGTGGTAATGCAAGTATCGAATACTTCAATACTGAAGAAAACAATTACTTTGAGTTGAGCTCCAGACAATTGTTCGGTTCAACAATGGCAAAAAATTAAAGAGTTCAAGTGATAATTTATTGTGCAAAATTTTACTATGCAGACCTCAGAATCATGTAGAGCAGTTAAAAGTCGTAGTTATAGAGTTAAGAATGCAATAAAATGGTGAAGGAATCTAGATGCTATAATGCGTACTGATATATGTAATGGTCGTATGGTGTGCGCTTAGCGCTATTTCCAGCCGCCGCGCCCTGAGCAGCGTCTCTGGCCAGCTGCAAATGTACGCAACAAGCTCTCCAGCCTGGTGCGAATGCCGCACATGCGGCTTGACCCATCACATTCGATCAAAATCGCTAACCCAGGAATTGGTTATAAATAAATAAATGACTTTTTTATAGCTTTCCGTAGGATAAATTATAGTAATAGCCTAAAAATTGAAAATAAAAATTTTTGCATATCTTTACGTTTCAGAGGTTTCTGAACATTTTGGCATACCTTAAAAAATGGATGTATATATGTGTGTGCGTACGCGTATTTTGTGTGGATACAATTTCGGTATCAACGAATAATTTAAAAAGTATTCTATTTCTATTGATAAGGAGACGCGCTGATCAGTTTTGACAAAAGTCGGTCCAGCCGTTTAGGAGATAAGGAGCAAAGAGTGCAGAAAATAGAAATAAAGTTTTGATAAAACAGACCATCCGATTTGAATAATTTAAAAAACATTCAATTTGTAATGATGGGAAAAAGTGCTGATTAGTTTTTCGGAGATACGTGTTAAATGTGCAAAAAATGGTAGTTTTTGAGTGTATCACCATCCGATTTGAATGATTTAAAAAACATTTTTCTTGCAAAGAAACGATTGGTTTGTTAATTTTTTTTTTTAAGTATCGAAAATATGATCAAGATTTTAATTTTAATTCTAGCTACAATTCTAAAGCTCATTCATATACTTATGTAAATATTAATAATTTATGTAATTCCTCTTGATTAGGTTTTGTGTAATTACTTTCATGTAACCATATATAAACGTCGTCACAAATTTATAAACTCTTATACTTTGTCTATAAAAATCGAATGATGAAAATTACAGTATTTATAATAATCTACTTGAAAGCATTTACGTTTCCTCGAATATTTTATTACTGTTCCTTATTTTTACTACAATTTTTACTTCAATTCCTTATTTATATTTAATACGATAATTGAACATTTAAAATTTTAATTAGTGACGCATGGCATCGTGCCTTAATGCAAATTTCAGGAATTTCAAAACAATGTGAATTTCAAAACATAGTTATTTTTTTTAAAAATCATTATCTTCACAAACAATAATTTTTTTTAACTGAAATAAGCAGAGAAATAAATAATTTTTTTTATTCGAAAAGTAAATAAAGAACACTTTTTTGTTTTGTAAAAAATACAATGAATATTTAAATAACTTCTTTTAAACCATTTTCATCATACAATTCCATAAATAGCAATAATCTTAAAAATAGGTATATCTGAAAATTTATTGTAACAAGCTTGACACGAATTAAAAATTTAATTCTTAAATCAGTGTGTATTTTTTTTAATTATCTTTTCTGTTACATATATCGCCAGGTGTCTCTATGATATTTTCAAATAA